CATCTCCAGCTCATCCCTTGTTTGGGTATCAGCCAGCACACCAACGACTTAAATCTAGACATAGTTTTCTAATATCTACAGAGACACTCGCTGGAACACCCCAGCAAGGAAGAGTTCAAAAGTGGCAGGCTCAAACCCAGCACCTCAATCCGTGGGTGATACCAGATGAGAGACTCCCCCCTGGGCACACAGAAAACTGGGTGACTTGGAAAGTGCTGAACAGACTGCGTTCTGGCACCACGAGATGCAGAGCCAACCTTCAGAAATGGGGCCACAAAGTGGAGTCCACGACATGCGAGTGGGGAGAAGAGCCAACCACTGACCACCTGCTGCAATGCAACCTGAGCCCTGCCACATGCACCATGGAGGACCTTCTTGCAGCAACACCAGAGGCACCCCAAGGGGCCAGATACTGGTCAAAGGACATTTAATCAACTACCAAGTCTGCAAAATTTGTTGTTTTTTTTATTTTTTATCTGTTTGTTTGTTTTGTTCTGTTAGAAATGTAATACAATGTTCTGGTTGCGGATGACACGATAAATAAATAAATCGTAATACTAAATTATTTTGTTACCTTCTCCTCTTAGCTTCAATGTGTCAGGGTTGTTGTTTTTTTAATGCAGTAACTTAAATTGCCCCAGAGGCGAAATTGCAAAAAAAAAATGTCCTTTTTGAATTGGCTTTGCTTTCACCCCATGTGTTCCGTTGATGTTGCGGTTTTGTTCTGTGTTTCCTGTTCACCGGTTGCGGACAATATTGCTTTTTTTGGGTGGTGCAATGAAGAAACTAGTGAGCCTCTTTAAAAAGCCAGAGTGGGAACCATGCAACCCATGAGCTTCAGGTAGCCTTTTTGGGGTTCAGTGAGTCCCTTGCTGCCCAAATCCTCACCACAAAAAATACTGTATTGTCGAAGGCTTTCATGGCCGGAATCACTGGGTTGTTGTAGGTTTTTTCGGGCTATATGGCCATGTTCTAGAGGCATTCTCTCCTGACGTTTCGCCTGCATCTATGGCAAGCACCCTCAGAGGTTGTGACGTGTGTTGGAACTAAGAAAGTGGGTTTATATATCTGTGGAATGACCAGGGTGGGACAGCTGCCTACCCTGGATGGCGAGGCGCTACACCCGTCATCATTGGTAAAGAGTCGGGGAGTCCTTAGCAGAACTGCCTTCTTTCACCTGCAGCAGGCTAGACGGCTGGCCCCCTCCCTGTCCAGGGACGACCTAGCTACGGTAATCCAGGCCACGGTCATCTCAAGACTGGACTACTGTAACGCCCTCTACATTGGCCTTCCTCTGTCGGTGATCCGGAAGCTCAAGTTGGTACAAAATGCAGCTGCTCGGCTTCTTGCGGGAATTCCAATGAGATGCCACATCACCCCAATCTGACTGCAGCTGCATTGGTTACCCATTGAGCACCGGATCACTTTCAAAGTGATAGTACTCACCTTGAAGGCCTTGAATGGTCTGGGGCCGATATACCTGAGGGACCGCCTCACCCCCTCCCAACTCCAGAGATCCCTCCGTTCTGAGGACCAAGATCTATTGGAAGTTCCCAGTGTCAAGACCTTGTGTCTAACAGCAACCAGACGCAGAGCCTTTATAGCAGTGGCACCATCGCTCTGGAATACTCTGCCACCTGAAGTCCGTGCCTTGCGGGCACCGGGATTGTGGAGCAGCTGCCTGAGTGTCAACGGCATTAAGATCACTCTGACCGAAAGGTCATGAGTTCAAAGCCAGCCCGGATTGGAGTGGGTTTCCAACCAACTGTGTGTAGCCTGTTGTCAACCTTTGCAACCCGAAAGACAGTTGCATCTGTCAAGTAGGAAAATTAGGTACCACCTTAAAGTGTGGGGAGGCTAAATTAACTGATTTATGAGGCCATAAAGAAGACTCCAGCAAAGCATTCCAGCAGGGAAGCATGCGGGGAATGCGGAAGTGCTTCATCAGCGTCGCAGATGGACGATGGAAGCGACAGCTCCCCTGGCGGCCAGAAAAAGTTAAATAGCCTCTGTGTATGTCTGTATATGTTGTATGTCAAAATTGGCATTGAAAGTTTGCCATATATGTGTACACTGTAATCCGCCCTGAGTCCCCTGCGGGGTGAGGAGAAGGGCGGAATAGAAAACCTGTAAAATAAATAAATAAATGAATGAATTATCAGCTTTCCGCAGGGCATGGAAGACAGGCCTTTGATCTTTGATATTGCTGTTTTTAAATTGTTTTTAAATTGTGTTAGATTTTAGCCTGTTCATGGGGAAAGGGTGGGGAGGGGGGTCATGTAAGGTTGAAGGGGAACTCATGCTCGCCCCCCAAAGTCCATCAATGTTCATAAAGTTTGCAAAAAGTCCATTAAAGTTTCTATAAAGTTCATGGGAGTTCATAAAAGTTATAGGGGATTATTGGATCATTCCAGTCTAGTGTCTTTGGCAAAACTATGGATTCCCTGATTCTGAATTATCTTTTACAGAGCTCTGGGGCAGGGTCACCTCTGATTACAACATCAGCGGGCAAGAACTCACGAAAGAATGAAGAGAGGAGGGTTGGAGACACACAGGTAGCCGCTGGACGCTTGCCAGCCGAACACTCCCTAAATGGAGAGCTTATGCATTCATTGCAGGCTCGGCAGCAGAAAGTAAACGTTGCAGACAAGCTCAGAGAAGGCCCCAATTGTTCAACGCCTGGGTTCCCTTGTGAGTGTGCACTGAAAGGGCTTTTTTTTTTTTGCATTCCCCGCCCGCTTGGCATCTCTGCACATGACTCACCGCCAAATCATCTCTTTCTGGTGGGAGGGTCACAGACAGGGATCCGAGCAGAGTCTAACTAAGCATTTAGCAATCGCACTGAGCAAACTTTGCCTCTTATGATTAAGAAATGCACAAATGTTGCTCGACAAAGAAAGAAAGACAGGAGGTGTCTGTTGTGGCAACAGCAGGCCAACAAACGGGCGGCTCGTCCATTATGCGAAGTAAGCAGTCGCAGAACACTTTTTTTGCCAGGGGTGCAGAGGTGCCTCTGTAAATGCCCCTCGACCGCCACTTGTGGATCGCCCCCTCAGCTCACAACAGCCCTAGCAGTCCGGGGGGAGCCTCGGCTTTCTTGCCTCGCTGCTGGGCGAT